TCCTTTACCTCCTCCTCCTCCTCCTCCACCTCCTCCCCCTCCCCATCCCCTTCCCTACCGCGCAGACGAAGCTGATGTCGAGATCACGACCCCTCCCGGTTCAGAAGACCGCTCGCTGCACTGCCACGGGGCGTGAACTCGACCTCCCCCCCACCGCGCGGAAAAAGGCGAGGCCGAGATCGCGACCCGTCCTTATCAGACGACTCGTCGAAATTGCGGCGCTCCTGCGCTCAGCCTCCTTCCTGCTGCGCTGCTTCACATGGCACGGTGGCGGGGCTTGCCGCAGGCAGCCGGAAAGATTTCCGCCGCCTCGCAGAGCCGATCTGGAGCCGTTTGCGTTTGCCGTGCCCTGCGCCCTGCGGCCGCGGTTGCTCCTCGTCGCCATGCCGAAGGCCATGGCCCGCGATCGGCTCAAACCATCCCCCGGCCCAAAGCTCAAACTTTCCAAGCAGAAGCATCGTTTGCATATGTCTGCATGGGTGTATATATGCATATGCATTGCTATCGGTGCGTGGCTTGATGTATACATGTGCGTGTATATATATATGTATATATGTAAATATGTGTGTATATATACAGATATAGACAAACATACCTATATAATTCTGAAAACAACACACAGCTGCATACATATGTGTATACAGATCTATTCGAGTTCGCTTCAATACGCATGTGTGCATGTGCGTGTGCGTCAACCCCAAGAAGGCCACACTTGGCACGAGGTCTCGTGGCGCCCTGCTCAGGCAAGTAAGCGGCCGCGTGGGCCTGCACTGCCTGCAGGAGAACAAGCAGCAAACGGATATCGCAGGCAACAGAACTAGGGGGCCCTGCCTCGCCGCGACGGCGAACCGGTCGCTCGTCGGGGCCTCGGCCAGCAGTCTCAGGTCGGCGCGGCCTCCCCGGTCGGGCGTGGAAACGGGGGCGGAACGGGGCAGAGGGCGGGGATGAGGATGGAGAACGTCCATTTCCCGTGCAGTGTTCGGTTTCGTGCGTGCCTGCGAGCGTCACAACAGGTTTATGAGCACCAGAGAATGCCTTTCAACACTATGCCATGCCATGCCTGAGTGCTCCCCCTAGCACGTAGGGGGGGGTCAGGCCTCCCCTCCCAATACGATCGTGAGCGTTACCCCCGATTGCGGGGAGTTTGGTCCGAGTAACGAGCGTAACGCCGGGGATGAAGCATATACGCCCCACGTGCCTCTTTTTTTGCCCTCGATGATCCAAGATGCTCTTCGATGGCCCTCGCCCCCCCCCCCCCCCCCCCCCCCAAAAAAAACACAAGAAACAACAGAAAACAAAACAAAACACAAAAAAAAAACGTCCGAGCGATGCCCAGCCCTGCGCCGAAGCGCGACCTGGCGCCCTCGGCGGCCGCGCGCCCCCGGCGTGAGCGCGGCCGCCTGGGCACGCCCGCCGCCGCGGATGGCCCCCCTCGCCCGAGGCGCGCCGCGCCCCTGCGCAGGGGCGCCCGGCGAGGCGCAGACCGTGTGAAAGTCGGAGGAGGAGGGGGAGGAGGAGTCGGAGGAGGAGGAGGGGGAGGAGGAGCGAGGAGGAGGAGGAGGAGGAGGAGGAGGAGGAGGAGCAAGAGGAGGAGGAGGAGGAGGAGGAGGAGGAGGAGGAGGAGGAGGGGAGGAGGAGGAGGAGGAGGAGGAGGAGGAGGGGAGGAGGAGGAGGGGGAGGAGGAGGAGGAGGAGGAGGAGGAGGAGGAGGGGGAGGAGGAGGAGGAGGGGGAGGCGGAGGAGGAGGAGGAGGAGGAGGAGGAGGGGGAGGAGGAGGGGGAGGCGGAGGAGGAGGGGCGGACCCCTGCGGCGCCTCCTCCGCGCGCCCCGAGGCGAAGCAAGAACCGACCCGTCGCGGCAAGCTAGCCAGACCCGCTCACGTTTTGGAAAAAAGCACGACGGGAAATGTTCCACTCTTAACGGCCTCTGGGGACCCTTACCGGCCCTCGGGACCGTCAAAAAACGACTCGGGATGAACATCCGGTCCCGGGGAAGGGGTCCAGACCTCCAGGGGTCGACGTTATGAAAAAATCCAGACGAAGCCAGGACGAGGGCAAATTCGGGTGAGGATAGCTCGAGACTCTCTGAGGTCCGGCGGCTCTGGAGGATATCTCGCGCGCCGCGGCCTTCTCAGAGCGTTCCAGAAGGCTCTGAGAGCGCTCCGGAACGCTCTGGAACGGATTGATACTCGTCCTAGCCCCGTCCGACCAACGGCCAACGCGCCGTGAGCCGAGGTCGGGAATCCACGTGCCCGGGTCAACCTGCGAACCCGGGTCAGTCGGGCCTTGCAGGATCCTGCAGAAGATCCTGCAGAAGATCCCACATATTGTTCTTTTACCATGCGAGCAGGGCGCCCCGCGGCCAAGGAGAGAGGAGAGAGGAGGAGGAGGAGAGAGGAGGAGGAGGAGGAGGAGGAGGAGGAGGAGGAGGAGGAGGAGGGGAGGAGGAGGAGGAGGAGGAGGAGGAGGAGGAGGAGGAGGAGGAGGCGCACCGAACAAACCAATGAATTCATTCACCGGATGCACTGGATACCTGCAAGCCTCCACGACGCGCAGCGCGTGCCGCCTCACCCGGGCGCTGGTGGGCGCGCGCCGATGGCTGCCCTGGGCGCGCCTCGCCGCGCCCTGCCGCGGCGGCACGCCTCCGGGCGCGGGGGGTCTCGAGGGCCACCGCGACGAGGGCGCGGCGAGGGAGCGCGCGCCGCTCCCATTCGAGGAGGGCAAGGCGGGCAGCGAGGCGGCGGAGCGGCGGGCTGGGGAGAGGCCCGGGAGGCGTCAGCAGCGGGCGCCGTGCGGCGGCTCCGTGCGGCGGCGCGTGCGCGCGCGGGCGGGCGAGGCCGCAGCGGCAGCCCCGGAGCGAGCGCAGCAAATGGTCGGGGCACAATCGATCCGCACCTGCCCGGCGGGTCGCTGGCGCTCGCTCACAGAGAGCACTTGCGTCGCGCCTGTTGGGCCCGCCGCCACGCCTCCTCCAGCTCGCTCCGACGTGCAGCGGGCCGCAGAAGCAGTGCAGCCTTCATCGCCGCCATCATCGACGATCGAAGATCGAGGTTGTTTTCGGGCGTTCTTGGGCGGTCCGGGGAGCTTCTAGACATGATGGCGGGTCCTTGGGGCACGAACCAAGAAAGGTCCCGTCAGCCTTACAAGACTGAAGTGCTTATCCGATCCAACCAAACAGTTCATATCATATACGTGACGCACCTGCGAAGCACCGAAAACAGTAGCATAAAAAACAACAACCAAACATACGAAACCAAAACAACTAAGCGAGAACAAATAGTGCCGAGAACCTCGGGTTGCCAGCCTGCTCAAGACGTTGCCCTTCTTGTCGACTTAGGAAAGATGCCCAAACTGTACGCCACTGTCGAGATCTAGCCGAGGCCCTCCTCAAGCACCGTTGGACGTCGAAGGGCTCGGGTCTTGTTACCACTGGCGAGCCAACGGCTGCGGGGCGCCTCGAACCGATCCTTGACTCCCTCGAGCCAAAGCAGCTGCGGAGGAGGAGGAAGGAGGAGAGGAGGACAACAAGGAGCAGAGGGAGCACGAGCGTACGTCAGGCGAAGAGGGAGGAGGGAGGAGGGAGGAGGAGGAAGGAGGGAGGAGGAAGGAGGAGGGAGGAGGGAGGGAGGAGGGAGGAGGGAGGAGTGGGGAAGAGGGAGGAGGAAGGAGGGAGGAGGGGGGAGGAGGGAGGAGGGAAGAGGAGGGAGGAGGGAGGAGGGAGGAGGGAGGAGGGAGGAGGAAGGAGGAGGGAGGAGTGGGGAGCAAGGAGGAGGGAGAAGGAGGGGGGGTGGGGAGGAGGGAGGAGAGGAGGGAGGAGGAGGGAGGAGGGAGGAGGGGAGGGGGGAGGAGTCCAGGAGGGAGGGAGGAGGAAGGAGGGAGGGAGGAGGGAGGAATTGGTAGGAGGGATTGCAGTGTCGTGCGTGCTTATTCCCCTTAGGGTAGGCATAACCCTTGTGAATCGGATGGGGCACTTGGGCTCTCCCACCCTTGAAATCGGTGCTCGATGTTGGCACCTGGCAATGGTGGGTGATGCGTGAAGCACATATCCTGTGGCAGCCACCTCTGCCTCGTAGCACCGTGACAGAGGGTGCCAACTCATGTGGGTCAGCCGTCCCATCATGAGGGGACGGCGAATGATGGACCCAAGCATAATGTGTGACAGCAACTTGCCTGAATATGAACTTCATGCTGTGTGCCGACCGTATGCACAAAATCGACTTCAAACACCAATGTGCGTTCCCATGGGGGGCACGGTTTGTCCGCCCCACGGGGGGTGCAAACATAGCTCGGACTTCAAGTGGCCCGAAAACATTTCCCACACTTCGGTCCTCATGGGATGCCGGCGGAGCTTGTGCGGAATATGTCCGAAGTGTAGGTGTCCGCCTCCCGAGGGTGACACCGGCGGGTCGGTTGAGGAGCCCTGTGGTAACCTATGTATGTAGATGTTCAAGTCGCTCGGCCCTCTGCCGGCGACCATTCAGATTGCCACAGAGAGTTGGCTTTTGGGGTAGCTCGGTGATCCAGGGACCCCAGCAAAACCGGCCAAACGATAGCGGATGGGCCAGCACGCCGGTTTAAAGCGTAGGCCGGTTGCCACGGCGAGCTAGAAAGGACAGGTTTTTAGGGCATCAGGTCGCACACGATATTGTCCAATGCAGTCCTGCATCGTGTTACGGACTCGGTGCTGCCCAGGAGGCAGTGGCAACGCCACCTCCTGGACCACCTCAGGCATGCAACTTTGGGGGCCAGTTCAAACCCAGAATGGGGGCTGCTCGAGGCGGAGGTGGTGGCCACGCCACCCCCGCCTGCGGACACAAGCTGTCCGTAACCTTTGGCTCAAGGTCCGTAACCTTTGGCTTAAGGAGGGAGGAGGGGGGAGTGAGGAGGAGGGAGGAGGAGAGGAGGAGGAGAGGGAGAGGAGGGAGGAGGAGGAGGAGGGAGGAGGAGAGGAGGAGAGGGAGGAGTGAGGAGGAGGGAGGAGGAGAGAGAGGGAGGAGGAGGAGGGGAGGAGGAGAGGAGGAGGAGTGAGGAGGAGGGAGGAGAGGAGGAGAGGCCGAGTCGTCGTTGCAGGTCGGATGCGCGCCCGTCTTCTCGGAGAGCCTCCGCGCTCGAGCAAAACCCGCCGCGCCGCCGGGCTCTCTCGGACCCCGCCCCTCCGCGCGCGCGGGCGCGCGCGCCAGGTGCAGGCCGCCCCGGCGAACGGCGCCGGCAAAACTGGCGCACACCTGCGCGACTCTCGGCGGCGCGCACAAAGAGAGCAAAAGACTGGGAATCAGAGCCCCGAATCATCAGGGGTAGCTCGGGTCAGGGCTAACTCGGGTTCGTTTTTCGGGATTCCGAACGCGACTGACCCCGGACCCGACTTACCCCGGATAATTCGGGCGTCCAGAGCCCCGAATCATCAGGAGTATCTCGGGTCAGGGCTAACTCGGGCTCGTTTTTCGGGAATCCAAACCCGAGTTAGCCCAGACCCGAGTTACCCCGGATAACTCGGGCTCCCAAGGGAAGGCGAAATACGCAGAAGGCATCCAGACACCACCATCGTGCCAGGCCAGGGCCACTCTGGCCCTGGCAGGGTGTATACGCCCTCCTGGCCGAGGCCAGGAGGGTCTATACACCGTCCTGGGGCCCAGGATGGCCCTGGCCTGGCACGGTGGTGGTGTCTGGATGCCTGCGTCGGACGAAAACCCACCGCCACCCCCAGTCCCGACCCCATCCCCGAGCCCGCGATCCAGGGGGTCGGGGCTGGGGGTGGGAAGGGGGGTCGGGGCATGGGGGGGGGGGGGCGCCTTCTGAGAGACGGCATGCCAGAAGCTGACGGAGCTCCGCGCGGATGTCTCGGATCGGCGCTGGGCCCCTTGGCGGCGCCTCGGGCGCCGCCCAGGGCGCGCTCAGGGCGCGCTCCGCGCGCCCTGGTGGGGGGTCCAGCGCTGATCCGAGGAACATGCGCGGTTCAGCTTTAGGTCGGGGATCTCCTTCTTCAGGCGAATTTTGGACGAACCATGAAAAATAGTCCAGAAATAATCATCAACAAGATCAAAGGAGCACGGAAAATCGTCACCAAGCGATTCGTTTACTGCTCTCGAATACTCATCCTGCAGAGGGACATGCCCGACTGAAGTCTGGCGCCGCTCCTAGGAATACGCGCTGAGCTCCACCAGTCCATGCTTGCAGCGGAGGCCAGTCCGCAAGCAACTTCCCACAAGAAACCCAACCCTGAGACCCCAGGACGTCCATGGATTTTTGATGGGGAAGCGTCACGCTGCCCATGGCAGAACCATCGAAACCCAAGAAACCCAGAGCACCCTGGAGGCAAGAAGGGTCTCTCTTGGCATGGGCTTCCACTGCACCACGGGTCTACCAAACGCCGATGCTGCATGCCAACCCCCCAGGAAAGTCACCCAAACCTTTACATCGGGCGAAACCCTAGAAGCCCAGGGCACCCCGGAGGCGAGCAGGGGGAGGAGGAGGAGGAGGAGGAGGAGGAGGAGGAGGAGGAGGAGGAGGAGGAGGAGCAGGAGCAGGAGGAGGAGGAGGAGGAGGAGGAGGAGGAGGAGGAGGAGGGAGGGAGGGAGGAGGGAGGGAGGGAGGGAGGAGGAGGAGGAGGAGGAGAGGGAGGGAGGGAGGAGGAGGAGGAGGGAGGAGGAGGAGGAGGAGGAGGAGGAGGAGGAGGAGGAGGAGGAGGAGGAGGAGGAGGGGTGTCTCCTGGCATGGGCCCCCACTGCGTGCGCTGTCTCCCCTTCTCCGGGCCCACGCGGGGGCCCCGCGAGGGCGCTCGGCCCTCCCTCGGGAGCCGGGGGGTCCGCTCCGAGGCCCCCCTCCCGCCGTCCCGAGGGGGCCCCCTTGGGAGCCCCCGAGATCGGCCTGCGAGCGAGGGGGGGGGAAGAGAGAAGGAGAAGGCCTTCGCAGAAGGCCCCGAAGTTCCCCGGCCGTCTGAGAGGTTTCTGGGCCTTCCACGAAGACACGAGAAGCGTCTCAGAAGGCGCGAGGACTTCTCAGAAACTCCGCGGCCTTCTACGAAGGCCTTCTCCTTCTCATTTCCCCCCTCGCTCGCCGCCGACAAGAGCCCCCAATCTGAGAAGCACGAGAGGGCAGCATCCACTAGGAATAAAACGACTGTTGTGCTTCTCGGGGCCCACTTGGAGGGTCCTCCTGGAGCCATCTCGGGGCGTCTTGGAGACCCCGAATCCCCCTCTGAGAAGCACGGGAGGACACAGTCCAGTCTGATCCAGTCCCACGCCGATCCTCCCGCGGAGCTCCGAAACCAAAGCAGACGGAGCACGCAGGAGACGGGCCAGAGCACGCGATGCCCAGCCCATCGGAAGAGACAGAGAGGAGCCCCAGAGGGCAGACCCAGGTCAAGCCACCTACCGTCGCCCCCTCCCCCCCCCGAAGGCCACCGCTTTTCCCAGAAGGCCGCCTGCCCAACGGGAGGCCTGCCCTCTCAGAAGGCCACCGCCAGCGCGCCACTCCCTTGTGTGCGCCGCCAGGGACTCCCAGGCCTCCGACGACTCGAGAACATGGCGCTGGAGGTTTGTCGCCACCTCTGAGGTCCACGGGGCAGCTTCGGAGCCCTCGAACATGGAGCGAGAGTGGATCAAGGCGAATGCAGTATTTTTCACGCTCTGGACCGCAGTGTGGCAGGGAACCGAGGCATGTGGCGCCACATCTGACGTTCACGCGGCCGTTTCTGAGCCCTGGGGCCCCTCAACAGACGACTCGGGATGAGGAGCCAGTCACGAGGAAGGATGCGAGATCATCAGGGGCCGGCGACTCCAAAGAAACAAAATAGGTCGTCGTCAAGGGGCCTCCCACAATCGGTCCGAGTAGGTGATGGGGTCGAAGGATCGCGCCGCATCGCCGAAACATCGCCGATGCATCGGCGATGCATCGGCGATGCACCGCGACGGCAGTGATGCATCGGTGACGTCAGCGTGGAGAAAATCGGGCCGCATCGCCGATACAGCAGCGATGCGGCGGGATCCTCCGACGCCACCTGCTCTGACCCCATCTAGGAGGCCTACATCGTCAGAGGCCTGGGTCCTTCTACACTGTCCAGGATCAGACCCGTTGGCGAATTTCTTGGCGGGCAGGGCGGGGGAGGGCGTGGGAACGAACGCCGACCAAGCAGCCCCGCCGGCCGAAGGAGGCCGAGCCCGCCGGCGGATCAGGGCCCCCGGAACCAGGACACCACAGACCAGAGCTTTGACATCTCCACCTGGAGAGCACGAAGAACGGAGAATGGACCATGGACCCACGGCTGCGATTTTCTCGGGCGCGCCAACGTCCTGGTTCAGCAGAGTCCCCGTTCGCGTGGGCCCCGAGCGGAGCTCCTGCCGAGCGGGCAAGGCAAGAGCGGGAGCGGACGCGGAGCAGTGACCGCGTCCACTGAGGGGGGGGGAGGCGGTCGTCGGTCCCCTGGCGGCCAGAGCGCCGATACCACCGCCCGCGCGCCCGCGGGCGAGAGGGCGGGAGGAGGCTGCTGGCAGGAAGGGCGGCGGCTCCGGAGGGGAGCGCGTCCCGTGGACCTGCCCCGCGGGACCAGCTTCTCCTCCTTGGTCGTTTTCTTGCTTTTCCCGCTTTGCCTGAGGGGCTCCTGCTTGGGAGGAGGGAGGAGGAGGGAGGGAGGAGGAGGGAGGGAGGAGGACGAGGAGGAGGAGGAGCAGGAGGAGGAGGAGGAGGAGAAGGAAGAGGCGGAGGAGGAGGAGGAGGAGGAGGAGTGGGACGAGGCTAGTAGGCACCGCGGCCCATGTCGGAGGCGGCGCTCAGCGCTGACCGGCTCCTTGGACTTGGATTTAATCTGGGCGGTGCTCGTGCTCCTCGGGGTTCCTCGCGCTTGGGTGCCTCGGGATTGCTCGCTCGGGTTCCTCTGGACTCTTCGAGTTCAAGCAAAGCCACGCACTGCCAAGCAATGCCAAGCACCGCTAGGCGACGCCCAGCAGTGCCAAGCAACGCCGCGCAACACCAGGCAATGCCAAGCAGTGCCAAGTCATGCCAAGCACTGCACAGCAATGCAATGCAATGCCAAGAAAGACAAATCAGTGCCAAGCGTTGCTGTGCACTGCTTTGAACTGGTGCGAACTGCTCTGGGAAACAGAAAAAACCCTGATTGGGGTCGCGCCGGGTTCATTCGACGGCCCCTGGGCTCAGGGAAGGGCCAGGGAGGCCGGAAGCAGCCAACCGCCTTCAGGACCCATTTCTCGGAGGTCCCGCGAGGGTGCGGCGACTACGCTGTGTGGTGAGACAGTGGGGAGTCGGGGTGACCGCGAACTTTGGCCGTTCTTCGAGGATGCCTCGGGCGACTGGGGCCGCCAGGGGTCCCAAGACGGTGCGGCGACGGACCGTGCGGTGAGGTTTCTTCCAGGGTTCGAGTTCACCGCACGGTCCGTCACCGCACCGTCTTAGGCACCCAATGTTTCTCTCAGGAGCCTCCTCGTCCTGGTGAAGGGTGAAAGTAGTTCGGCGTTGCTTGGAGTGTGTGTGTGTGGGGGGGGGGGGCGATCAACGGGGGGGGGCGGAGCAACGGGGCACCTTCCTTGCCCTTTGCGGGCCCTCGGGGGCCTCTTCACAGCCCCAAAGGTGTACAAAAGATTACCTTTCTCACTCCTCAATCACCGCCCACCTGCAGGGTTTCCCCCAGGGAGGGGGAGGAGGAGGAGGAGGAGGAGGAGGAGGAGGAGGAGGAGGAGGAGGAGGAGAAGGAGGAGGAGGAGGAGGAGGACGACGACGAGGATGAGGAGGACCACTGGAAACCCAAGAGTCATGATGTTGTAATTAGCCCTCCCTCCAAGCTCCCTCTTCATAGGCCCCTACAACGGTTAATTTCCATTGAGGGAACTGCCTCGCTGGACGACAAAAGTTCGAAGATCCTGATGCGTGCCAAAACATCGTTTTCAGGATTTCAACGCCACGTATCAACCTGACTGCTGCGTCTTGACGCCAGAACACCATTTGGGGGACTTCATCACAACGAATCAACATAACTGTTGCGCCCGCATAATCCGGAATCCTTCCAACATTCATTTCTGGTACGTTTTTAAAACGAATGTGCGCGGCGCTAAAGCGAGAGCCATTTTTGGAGGACCCGCCTTCAATCCGCGAAGCTCTTGCAAAAGTTTGAAACGAACCTGCGCGGCGCTAAATTTTGAAAACAACCCGCCCTCAACCCGAGAAACTTTGCAAATGTTTAAAACGAATGTGCGCGGCACTAAAGCAAGAGCCACATTTTGAAAACGACCCGCCCTCAATCCGTGAAACTCTTGCAAAGTTTGAAAACGAATGCACGCAACGCTAAAGCGAGAGCCGCATGCTGAAAACCACCAGCCCTCAACCTGTGAAGCTCTTTCAAAGTTCGACATACGAATGTGCGCGGCGCTGAGGCGAGAGCCACATGTTGAAAACCACCCACCCTCAACCTGTGAAGCGCTTGCAAATGTTTCAAATGAATGTGCGCGGCGCTAAGGCGAGAGCCACATTTTGAAAACGGCCCGCCCTCCATCGGTGATGTTGTCACTTTTGGAGCTTCCGGGTCCGGGTCACAAATGGTGAGGACGTCTCAGGCGAAACGCCCAGCCCGCCCTAAAAACTGGTCTCGGGGTGCGACAGGGAGGAGTTATCTACAAGGAGAAAGAATGGAGGAGGAGGAGGAGGAGGAGGAGGAGGAGGCGGAGGAGGGGGAGGAGGAGGAGGAGGAGGAGGAGGAGGAGGAGAAGGAGGAGGAGGAGGAGGAGGAGGAGGAGCAGGGGGAGGAGGAGGAGGAGGAGGAGGACGGGTCGCCTATGCCCTTCGGAGAAACCCTCTGCGCCCACCCCTCCACTACGCAACGCCCGAAGAGGCTCTCCGCCTCAGCCGCCGGCCTGGTGCAGGCCGCCGGCCCCCCGCGAACGGCGCGGGGACAAAATGGTGGTTCGCACCTCGGGCGGCCTGTGCAGAGCACGGCGCAGGAGTGGGGAGACGCTTTGCAAGCCAGGAGGCAACTTCTGTGAGGTCTGCGTGGGAACGATTGCGGTTATGTTGCTACCATCGTGCTTAAGGACCACATCCCAGAAACAATTTCGAGCACCCGGAAAAGTGTCGAAAGGGTGTCGAAGCAGTGTCGAAACAGTGTCGGACGAGTGCCTCCCAGGGCCCGACACGTGAAAACCCTTGAGATCCGGTACTTTGGGGGGGGAGCTCGGAATTATTTTGGGGGATCAAGGCTAAAGTAGGTTGGAACATCATAAGATTACGGGCCAGTAGACCCTATTACCCCAGAGTGGCACCCCCAATAGCAGCGAAGGTGAAGAGGCGGGTCGATCGGTAGAGCGTCGGCTGCAGAGGGTCAGGGGTGGCAGCACGGCCATGCGCAGGCTGGTGAATATGTTCACAGGGATCCTGGTCGCCCGGGCCAAGAGTGCAGCCCGAATGGAAGCGAGAGCACGATGCCTGTACTAATTGCTGTGAGGAAGTCTCAAGCGGAGCGGCTGCCGGACCAGGCAATCTCAGGAGGCCGTCCTGGCTCCCCGTCCCCCCAGTGGGACTCTTCTGTGGTCCTTCGGCCGCATTCTTTTAGTCGCGGCGATAGCGGGTGAGGGGGGAGGGGGGGAGGGCAGAGGGGGGTGGCATAACGTGGCGCCACTCCCCGCCGTGGGCTCGGCACCACAGACTGTGGTGCCAGACGCAACGCGCTAGTGCTGGGGACGCACTGGGGGCGGGGGGAGCGTTACGTTATGTGGGGGAAGGGTGAGCATAACGCTCGAGATGGGCCAGAGGGTAAAAAACATTCTTACTTGCCTCTACTAAAAGCCTCTGGCGAAACGATGCTAGGAAATGAATGAGCAGGCCAGATTAAGCCCAGGAAAACTCAGGATAAAACGGATTCAACTGGATTGGGCGGGATGGAACGGGACGATGCCGGATTAGGCTGATCTTCATCCACGGATGCACCAGCGCCGATGCCGAACTGAAACTCCCTGGAGCTGCATCCTGAGCTCTGCAAGAGATCGGCCCCGCTCGCGAACCTCTTGGCGAGCGGGCAGGTGGGCGGCTGCCAGACGCGGTCCTGGCCGAGGGTGCCCCCCCCCTGCCACTCGGCTGTCCTGGGGCCCCTGCTGGGGGGCCGCAGCCCGTCTGAAGGCCCCCCGGGGGAGAGGCTGGGGGCCGCTTGGGGGGGGGGGGGCAGGGCCGCCTCTGGCAGTGGCCGCAGCGCGGGGGGCGAGCGCCGGCAGGCCGCGCAGCTCGGAGCGGCATTCCAGGAGCAGCGGTGCCACGGCCGCCGCCCTCCAGGCTGCAGTGCAGCAGGCGCGCGGATGCAAGGGCGGGCGCGTGCCCACGGGCTGCGCGAGTGCTGCAGGGCGGGGGAGAAGGAGGACGACGACTACGACGGCTACGAGGTCGCTTCACGTAGGAGGAGGGAGGAAGATGAGAATGATAAGGAGGAGGAGGAGGAAGAGGAGGAGGAGGAGGAGGAGGAGGAGGAGGAGGAAAAGACGTGCGCCTTCGTAGTCGCACAAGGCTCGGGGAAGAGGAGAGACAGACAAAGAGGAAAGAGGATGAGCAAGAGGAGGCTCTGACTAGGACGCAAGAGGAGGGAGGACGACCTCGAGTCAAGCCAGCGGTCTATTGTAGGCCGCCGCAGGCGAAGGGCGCGCGAGCAAAGAGGCTCGCAGCTGGACGATGTCTGCACTATCCAGCGCAAGGAGGTAAGGAGACACTCTATAAAGAGATCGCGCCCGCTGGCGGATTCCGCGGGGATGGCCAGTGTCAGTCGCCCCCCATAGATATGGCGTTGATATCGCAGCTACCCTGGGCTGCAGGGAGGTCGAAGATCCGAGGAGCTCGAGCTCGCAGCGGCGCTGGATGCCCAGTCGGGGGGGAAAAAAAACACCTGGGCGCGGGGGCCGGGCAGAGGGCAGCGGCAAGCTGCCATCCAAAGCCAGCCATACGTGGCCGCTAGAGAAGGCCACCAGAAGTTACCTGAGGATCTCTGGGGCCATCGGATCTGAGGGCCCTCACCCTCAGCATGCTACAAAAGCCCGAGACTGGACGTCGCATCGGGAGACTGTCAGAAGGGAGAGGGGCTGTACGCCCGCCTCGACCCCCTGGCGGCGTCGTGAGAAGGCCACGATGGCAGGCGCGGCATCTATAATTTGGGACTCCTCCTGCCGCCCCCTCCCCCCCTGACTACCCGCCAGACCACCCCAACCTGACCAGAATGCCCAGGCTTCGGGTTGGGGGGGGGGTGCGGGCTCCACGCGTGTGTTTTCTCGATGCTCCCCGACCCCCCCCCCCCCGAGGATCAACTTGGGCCTTCGGGTTGGGGTGGGGTGGTTTGGTGGGTGGTGGCCAGAGGAAAAAGAACCATGCACATACACCGATTTTGGCCAGGTCCGTCCTGAGCCCAAGATCGGCGCATACGCCCTCCTGCCTTGGCCAGGAAGGCATGTGCACCGCTCCTGGGGCCTCAGGATGGGCCTGGCCAGGACCGGTGCCTGTGCATAGCTCTCTTCGCCCGAGTGGCCCCCCCTGCCCCTGCCGGCAGGGCGCCCCGGGGAGGCCAGCGCGAGGGAGCCCACCTCCCGAGAGGGCAGGGGCCGAGCGGGGACCGACCGCCCCGGCATGCCCAGAGGCCTGCCACGCAAGGTCCTCAGCACCTGGACGATGTTCTTAGAAGGCAACTACTGGGAGGTTTCCGTCGGAAAGATCAGAAAGGATTAAGCCCCATTGGGGGGCTGTTATGCCGGAGTGGGCCTCGGATTAAGCCGGATTGCACGGGATTAAGCGGTACTAAGCCGTATTAAGCGGGATTAAGCCGGATTAAGCCGGATTTCGGACCAGGGCAAGGACAGAATTTGACATCCCAGGAGTTGCATCCGAAATGTTCTAAGAACAGAAGCCTTGCTCTTGGGACATGAGCGCGACGTGTTCAAACAAGACGATCTCGGCCAGGGATGCTCCAAGAGCAGACCGTGCAGACCGCAAGCAGTTCTCAGAACATTCTTTGGTGGGCCTGTAGGCGAGCCGGGACGCTTCGCCACTGCTCGACTCCTGACGGGGGCAGAGGGGGCGGGGGCGCCTCCGAAGCCCTCCCGCCTCGAAGCCTCCGCGGACGCCTCCGGGGTCCCTTCGACGAGCCCCCCTTACCTCCTCGGACGGCCGCCCCCCCTCGCGCCGCCCCCCTCGGCGCGCGCCGCCACCCCCCCGCCGTCCTGCAGCGCGGCATCCAGAGGCCCGGCCTGAGGCCATCACTGGCCATCGCTCGGACGTCCATTTCCTGTGTTTTTGTTAGGTTTCGTGCGTGGTTTTTGCGCCAGATGGTCAAGGATGCTCCTCGATGGTCCTCGCCGAAGGAAAAATTCACACGTCCGAGCGATGCCAAGATCAGCCATGGACGCAGTCTACAAAGCGGAGGCGCAGAATCGGAACTTGGTATCCCATGCCACGTCAGGTTGAACGTGGCACTCGCCCGAGGGCAAGGGATCTCGCTGAGGAGAAGGCGGAGAACCGGGGAGGAACGGAAGGGGGAAGAGGAGGAGGGGGCAAGGAGTGGGGCTGAACTGAGTCATATGTCTCGGGGCCCGCGTCATCGCGATGCCAGCACATAGGCGTTGCCTGTTGCAGCATGCGCGCCCGCCTTCCAGGAGATAGGGGAGGCTGTTTGTGCACTGACCCACCCGCCTGAGGGCACCTGCATGTTACCTTCGCATTTCGCACCACTCTGCCCCATTTTGAGCCGAAGCTTTGGATTGCGGCATGTTCGATGTGCATAGGTACGGCAAGTACCCATTGTAGCTGAACGGCCCACAGTAGGCACAACTTTCCAGAGCACGCGTGGCTCTATCAACACAGGCTGGGAAGGAGTACCTCGGCACGGCACATTTAGCTTGGGCACAGTTTTGATCAGCACCGATGCGCATTCATTACATTCGCTTGCATGGTGGAATCCCACCAGCCATTTAGGGCGTGAGTGCTTTCGAGCGTTTCCTCTTCCAGTCCCCCCTCTTCCCCTTTCGGGAAGGGTTTACCACTGTTCCTTGTTAGTATACACCCCCTCCCCTCCCAGAGGCGACCGGCGTCCAACCAGGAACCATGCCGACACCATGCCGACCCGCCACCAAACATCCCTTTCAAAAAACGATACAAACCGCACTCTGCCTCCACGTTTGGAGCATGCGCGGCCAACCCGATGCGGTCCCCTCCACACCATCCCTGTCAAAAAACAATGCAAAGTACATGTGGGGGCAAGTCTTGAGTCATGTTCGTGAGGCCCGCGAACATCCCGTATTGTTTTTGACAGGGGTGACGGGGGTGCCAGCATGGCTACCATCCCTGACACAACAAAAAAAACAATACAGCATGCACCTCGCGGCTAAATCTGGATCATGCGCGGCCATCCCGCGGTCACTGTCAATTGTGTTTGACAGGGACCGCGGGGGTGGTGAAGCGTGGCATGCCGTGCGCAGGCCCTCCAGACACAACGATGAGCATTGGTTTTCGACAAGGATGGCGGGGGCCGACGTTTCTCTCGATGTGTGCTGTCACGTGCGCAGGCGCACCTGACGCACGCTGCACGTGCCCCGAACATGGCGCACCTGGTGCGGCTGGAGAATGCGGCACACCTGGCGCACTCGGAGCACGTGGCGCATCTGGCGCACCAGGCGTGCCTGGCACGCTCGGGCCCCAGGGGTGCCTGGCGCGCGTGGCGCCCCTGGCACGCGTGGCGCACCTCGCCCAAGCGTCGCGCACCTAGGGTCGGCGTTGGTTCCCAGTAGCTGTCCATCCAAAGACGACCGCTGAAAATGCTCAGGCTCAGTGTTACATATGGTTTGGGAGGGCCGTTGGGAATGAGCTAGACGGCTTGCGGGCGGGTGGGTAGCTTGACCTCTCCTCCTACCTCCTCCGCTGGACCTGGACGGAAGGCTCCACAAAGCGTTGGAGCGTCCAAGATGTCCCCGACGAAAAAAACATAATTATTGAGGTTGCTAGGGTTTGGGCCCATGTTGGCCTCGGGGGGGGGGGGGGGGGCAAATTTACCCCCCCCTTCTTTGATCGAACTCCTGCAAGATGGCCCCAAGATGGCTCCCAAAGCTCCCAAGAGTGCTCCAAGATGGCCCCAGGAGGCGCCCAGGAGGCCCAAGAGGCCCCGAAGAGACCCCTAAGAGGCCCCAAGAGGCTCCCCCGAGGCAGCCAAGACGCTCCAAGAGGCCCCCAGGGCCGCAAAGAGGCACCCAAGACGCCCCGAGGGGACTCGAAGAAGCTCTCAAGAGACATCCGAAGAGACTCCGCGAGGGATTCGATGAGCCTCTGGCCATTATGCTTGCCCTCCTCCTCCTCCTCCTCTCCTCCTCCTCCTCCTCCTCCTCCTGTTCCTCTTCCTCCCTCCTCCCTCCTCCCTTCTCCCCCTCCCCCTCCTCCTCCTCCTCCTCCTCCTCCTCCTCCTCCTCCTCCTCCTCCTCCTCCAGTTTCTCCTCTATCCTGCCCGTCTTGGGGTGTGACGGCTTCCCGAGCCGCTTATTACACTGCATGCTCCTCCTCGACATCCATGCTCAGGGCAAGTCACCTGGGCATTGCTTCTGGACGGGCTGGTGGGGTTACCTTTTTTTTACAGCCGCAGGCGGAAGCGCCGGCGGCGGGCGGTCGCGGTCGGGCTGCGGCCGCGACTAGCGGGCTGGTGGGGTTACTCGAAGCGTCCAGAAGTGCCTGCAGTGCAGACCAGAACGCTTCAGGATAATCCTCCTCCCGCTGTTTCCTCTCCTATTTCACCACCTCCTCCTCCTCCCCCTCCTCCTCCTCCTCCTTCGTCTCCTCCTGTTCATTCCAATCGCCATCCTCCTCACATCGCCTTCTCATCATCAAGGTCCTACTCGTTGTCTCCATCCTCCCTCATCCTGCCTCGGAGCATCCCAATCTCCATGCTCGAACCCCTCCTTGTCGTCATCCTCGGCATCGTCGTCACTCAACAGCCAGACGCATAATGGTGCTTGTCATCGTCACCGCCACCGTCGACATCGCACTGGTGGTTTGCAGCAGTGGCGCCATCATCTTGAAAAGGGGCATCCAAACACAGCTGATGATAGGCGGCCAATTCCTCGATTGCCTGTGGGAACCTAAATCATCGTCACCAACAATACAGTCGGGGCCTTGACCTAAGGAACCCTAAATAAGGAACGAGGCCACTTTTTTCCATAAGTTAAACTTCGATTTCCTATCGAAGACATAAGGGAAACCTGAGGCAAGCTGTGAAACACTTAAGGAACGCGGAACCCCTCCAACGAAAAGGGTTCCTTCTTCAGGGCCCCGACTGTAGGCAGCCACTTCCTCTATTGCCTGTGGGAACCTAAAGCATCGTCACCAACCATATTCGTGCAAGCATCCCCCGCCAACAGCACACGTCACCACCACCATCACAGCATCACCATATTCACTTCTCTCCAGCTCCCTCTCTCCCTCCCTCCCTCCCTCCCTTCCTCCCTTCCTTCCTCCCTCCCTCATCTTCCCCTTCTCCTGCCTCTCTCTGGCTCCCCGGGGAAAATGAAACGTTTCAGATTCCAGAATCACGTGGAACGGTCCTGGGGTGATTCTGGAACCCTGAAGCTCACTGTTTCTAGTTCCAGAACCGCCATGGAACCATTACGGGGTGAAAATCAATTTGAGGCCACTTCGGGAGATTCCCCAATCAGTGCTTGCACTGAAGGGGTCCTAGCGGATATTTCCCCAATCAGTGCTTGCACTGAAGGGGTCCTCGCAGAAGTTGAAAGATTTGGCGGAAATTTCCCGTCGATTTTGGACGCACGCTGGGTTCCCGGGTTCCCGGTTCCGGGTTCTCGGGTTCCCTGGTTCCCGCTTCCGGGCCGATTTCGGAGGGCGGCGAGGTTCCCGGGTTCCCTGGTTCCTGGTCGATCTTCTAATCGATCGGTCTCACCATGGATCTCATTACCCACTTCTCTATCGATCCAACCATCGATCTCACAATCGATCTCACTGTCGATCCCACAAGCGATCTCACTAGAGATCGCATGAGCGATCTCGCGATCGATCTCACGATCGATATCATAGAATCGATGTCACTCTCGGTCTCACGATCGACCTTACAATCGTCCTCACTATCGGTTCCACTATCGATTTCATTATCGGAGAGAGCGTGATCCACCGCCGCTTTACTGTGGAAAATTGCCGCCCTTTTCCTCCGGAACCCGGGGGTCCCCCCCCCCTCCGAAAATCCCCCCCCTCTGCTGGAACCCCCCTCCCCCCCCCCCCTTCCCCTCGGCAAAACCCCCACCCCTCCCCTAACCCCCCCCCCACCCCCCCACCCTCGAAAACCGGGGGGAGCCACTACCGGTTCGAACCCCCCCCCCTCGAAAACCTGAGGGGTGTCACTACAGGTTCGAACCCCTCCCCAGTCCCCCCCACTCACCGCCAGCAAACGACTCCCGGTCCCTACCACCGTCCACACCACATCCCCCACTGTTGTTCCCAGCACCACTGTCCTCACCACCACTGTCCTCACTGGTTCCACCACCATCCCTATTGTCCCCACCAGTGCCCCCACCACTGTCGCACTGTCCCCACTGTCCCCACCACTGTTCCCACCACGGTTCCACTCTCCCCACTTTCTCCACACCCCCGACCACTGCCCGACTATCCCCACTGTCACCGCTGTCCCACTGACTCCTCCGCTGTCCCACTAAACTGTCCACTGTTCCCACCACTGTCCCCACTGTCCCCACCACTGTCCCCACTGTACCTCTGTCCCATTGTCCCACCGCCGTCCTCGCCACCGCCTTCACCACTGTCCCCACCACCACTGTACCCTCCACTGTCCCACTGTTTCCACCTCATTCCCACTGTCCCCACACCACTATCCCCACCACCACCGTCCCCACCACTGTCCACTGTCCCCACTGTTCCCACCATTGTCCTCACCACTGTCCCCACCACTACCGTCCCCAACTGTCCCCACCACTGTCCCGCTGTCCCCTCACCACTGTCCCCACCACCACCGTCCCCACCACTGTCCGCACCCCCCCTCGGTTTTCGAGGGGGGGGGGGGTTCGAACCGGTAGTGACCCCCCCCGGGTTTTCGAGGGAGGGGGGGGGGGTTCGAACCGGTAGTGACCCCCCCCCCTTTTCATGATGAACTGGGGGGGGCGGGGGGGCAGGGGTTCGAATTGGTAGTGAACCCCCCCCGGTTTTCCGGAGGGGGGGGGGGGGGAAGGGGTTCGAACCGGTAGTGACCCCCCCCGGTTTTCCGCCAGCAGCGGTAGAACACGCTCTTTCCATTATCGATCTCACAATCGATCTCAATATCCATCGTATTATTTTTCAAATCATCCACTGATTGGGTTTCCTCAGGTGTATCAAAAGATTTAGCGAACATTTCACGCCGATTTTGGTAGCTGGCTGGGTTCGCGGGATCCCTGTTGCGGGTTCTCGGGCTCCTGCAGGGCATTGGTTCCTGGCCGATTTCGATGGGTTCAGGGCTCCGGGGTTTCCAAGTTCCCGGTCGATCTCTTTATCGATCTCTTTATCGATACCACGAATCATGATCGATCTGATGATCGATATCACTATGCGTCTCACTCAATCAGAGGATGGTGTGAAAATCCGCTGGTTGTTTTTTTTGTTCCCTGGTGTGATTTTACCAAATGCCTTATTGGGCTCCTAACAGAAGGCCTTATTGGCCTCGTTGCAGAAGGCTTTATTGTGCTCCTTGCAG